CAGCAGCAGCAGCAGCAGCAACAAACAAAGATTTACTTTGGCTCATGGTTGTAGAGTTTCAGTGCATGGTCACCTGTCTCCATTTCTGTGCAACATGGCAGAGGGAATGGCAGAGAAAAGCTACTTAGCTCATGGCAGCCAGGATGCAGAGAGCACCAGCCAGTGAGAGCAAGCCCTAGTCACCTATTTCCTCCAAGTAGGTCCAGTCTCCTACAGTTTCCATCACCTATCAATAATGCCATCATATTTTCAATCCAATGGACTAATCCACTTATGAGGTCAGAGCCCTCCTGATCTAATTCCTTCCCAAGAGCCCTGCCTCTGACCACTGCTGCATTGGGGGACAAGCCTTTAACACAGGAATCTTTGGGGGAACCTTCCAGATTCAAACCATAACATCTTGTTTGCTTGCTTCTCTGGAGTGTGTCTTTTCTCCAGGAAAGAGGTCTTTGTATGTTAAGAACATCCATCTCTATGTTGTAATTATTTCTCCTATTTGTGTTTTTAATTTTACTTAATTTCTTTGACCTACAAAATGAAAAAAAAATTGTATGATCATGTATATCAATTTTAACTTTCATGGTTCTTTTTTTAAATGCTAATTGGCGCATTTGCTTTATTTATTTATTTATATTTATTTTTAAAACAAACTGGGCTTTTGAATTTCTTTCCTTTTTGTTCATTCCATCACATTGAAAAGGAGAAAAACCAAAATGGTTTTGAATTCACTCAATATTTTGGACTCCTCAGATGAACAGAACATTGCACACACACCTGGAACAGAGTCAGAGAGGTAAGTGGACTCCCACAGGGCCACACGCACTAGATCAAAAAACTGGGATACAGTGCAAAATTTCCCCCCAGATGATTGGATCATCATTACCAAAAACTCGCCATCACAACACCAAGCAACAAAAAATGTTTAAGCCACACTGTTTGACTTGGGGGAATCTTTCTGCTTTTTTTTTTTTTTTTTTTTTTTTAAATGTTTGCCACACAGAGAGAAAGAGGGCTAGTGGGCGGGAGAGGACAGACTCATCAGACGTGAGCAGGACAGGAAGGGAAACTTCAGAGTGGAGTTGAGAGAGGGCAGGAGAGACAGGGCTCAGGAGAGGGGAGGGTGCGGACGTGGAAAGCCATTTCCTAGAATTCAGGCATGTTCCTGGTCAGCCTCCCGTTCTTCGTGACCCTCATCCTGCCGGCCATTGTCCTGAGGTTTGGTTCATCTGCAGCTTCTATCTTCTCTGGAGCTTAGCTGCTCTCGGCAGGCTCCGTCCGAGGCTGGGCTGTTGCCTCGACGGCAGGGTCCTCTGCAGCAGGGGTGGTGGCAGCAGCAGGCACGTCGTCGGCTGGTTGTGGCTCCTCCTTGGCGGGCACGTCCTCGGCCCTGGAGGACGGCGAGTTGTCCGCGGACATTTCAGCGGAGCCGTCCATCTCCTCCGAGGGGGCAGGAGCCTGGGTGGCCGCCTGCTCGAGGGCACCGTCGGGGGCGCCCTGCGCTTGCTTCTCCTGGGAAGGGGTGTCTCCTGCTTTGCCGGGCTCCTGGGCCTCGGGGCCAGTGGCCGGGACCTCTTCGGCAGCCGGGCCTTGTGCCTTCTCCGTCCCCACCCCGTCGGCAGCGGGGGCTCCCTCCTCCTTCTCCTTGGCTTTGGCCTCAGCAGCTTGGGCATCGCCCTTCTTCTCTCCTCTGAGCCTTTTCCTTGTTAGGTAGCCGCGGAAGCGAGCCTGAATCTGGGTCGCGGCCCTCTGAGCTCGGTCTTCTGGTTTGATTCTGTCTTGTTCAATCTTTTGGTCCTCAGCAATTTTCCCCACCGCTTTGGTTCTCAGACAGGACAGCATAGTGGTCCCTGCCTTCTTCCTGCCTTCTCTCCTTTCCTCCTCTATCTTATTCCTCCCCCCTCCACCTCTTTTCTAGCTCGCTTGCTCACTCTCTCTCTTTCTCTCTCCCTCTCTCTCCCTCACACACCCCAGGGCAGTTAGCAGCAACTGTAAGGTCCACAGCTACAGCTCATCGCACATGCGCGCTCTCTCTCCCTCTCTTCCTCCCTCCCTTCCTCTCTTCTCTCTTCTCTTCTTTCCCCTTCTCTCCACCCGCCCTAGATCCCTGCTTTTTCTTCTCTCCTTTTTCTCTTTCTCAGAATTGTTCACTAGCTTTCAATGACTAATCTCTTTCATGGTTCTTATCTTTGATATTGGGTCTGTAAGGGTTTTAATTTTTTTTCTTTTTCTTTTGGTACCAGGGATTGAACTCAGGGGCACTCAACCACTGAGCCACATCCCCAGCTCTTTTCAAAAATTTTTTTTTTTTTTTTTTTTTTAATTTTGAGACAGGTTCTTGTTAAGTTGCTTAGGGATTCACTAAGTTGCTGAGGCTGGACTTGAACTTGTGATCCTCCTGATTCAGCCTCCTGAGCTACTGGGATTATAGGCGTGCACCCCCTCACCCAGCTTTTTTATTAAAAAGAAGGTATCAGGTACTGTGAAATACTACAAATGAGGCAAGATGCTTTTTCTAAATACTCTGTACCTTGGCTCATCAAATAATTTCTCTTCCAGAGCTTTCACAAACATTATTATTTTGCTTTGGCTGAGTAAAAATCTTTGAAATCCCTAAGCGATCACTGACTATATAAACATTATTTGTGTAGTCCTCCTTCTCTATTCTCTATATCCCTGAATGAAAGTTGATCATAGGCTTGGATGAGATAGGCGTTTAAATGTTAATTCTCCGATGAGGTATTAACTAAAGCATCCCTTGCTCAGGCAGTTAATGAATTCATTTGCTAAGCTATCTAATGCAGTAGATTCTATGACCCCCCACTCAGGGGACAATTATGTAATCAGACCCCAGGCTGGAAATTGCCAGGGCTATCATGAAGTTCTTTCCTACTTTTCCTGACAATAATCAGCACTAACTAAGCAGAGATCAATGGAAGGGACCAATGGACCCTTTGCTGACGGTGTCACAGAACAATTGCTGCTAACTCCAGTGATCCTGTGAATCCTTTGGGTTCCATGACATGTCCTTGGGATTTTTGTCAACTATTCTTCAGTCTCTGTTCTACCTACAGACTTCTGTGATGGTTCCTGTAGGGTATCCTGTATCCAGGCTTCTTCCCTCCTTGTTAAGCACCAGAGAAGCTACCACCAGAGTCTTGCTCTACTTGAAGCCCCAAAGTTTCCCAAGCATAGGGGGTGACATTCCAAAGCAGGGCAGGAATGCTTTTTTTTTTTTGGGGGGGGGGCGGTCTCCAAACAGTCATCTCAGAAAGTTACTGTGGATGGTCTACTTTTCTATAAAGCTTCTTGGGCAGAAGTTCACATTTATTGTGTATTTAATTTTTTTTTTAAACTCAGGGATACTCTACTATTGATCTACATTCCCACTCCTTTTATTTTAAATTTTTTATTTTGAGACAAGTTCTCACTAAGTTGCTCTGGGTCTTGGTAAATTGCTGAGGCTGGCCTTGAACTTGAAATCCTTTGTCTCAGCCTCCTGAATTGCTGGGAATACAGGTATGGGCATCTGGTGTGTGTATTGATTTTTAAGGAAGCTGAGCTTTTTCCAGTCTTTGATGTAATGTACTTTATATCTTCTTTCTTTGGAACTCCTGGGCATGGACTAGGGAAATCTGATATTTTCCTTTTGTTTAATAGAAAGCACAACTCCACTGGTAAATAGATTAAAGTGGCAGAAATCAAGAACTGGAAATTGAGGGTCCTTAAGGGTATCCTGGACAGTACTGGGAGGAGGGGATAGGATGGAAACCTGTAAGAACCACGAGTCTTTCCGGGTACAGTGGCACACGCCTGTAATCCCAGTGACTCAGGAGGCTGAGGCAGGAGGATCGCAAGTTCCAGGCCAACTTCAGCATCTTGGAGAGACCCTGACTCAAAATAAAAAATAAAAAGGACTGGGGATGTAGCTTAGTGATAGAGTACCCCTGGGTTTACTCCCCAGCACCAAACAAACAAATAACTCAAAACCCGATGAGACTGCAAGTGCAGGTTGAGGCTAATGCGTGAAGGTGTGTCTGTGTGCATATACCTGTGTACATGTATGTGTCTGCTGGGTGAGTGTTCTAGTGGTGGGTGTCTAGAGTATTCAGTGTATTAGGTTCCTGTTGCTGCTGTAACAAATGACCACAAACTTAGCAGCTTAAAACAACCACGATTTATTTTCTTACAGTTCTGGAGGTCAAAAATTCTAAAATCAAGGTGTCATCTATGCCCTGTTCCCTCTGGAGGCTCTGGGGGAGATGTTTCCTAGCCTTTTCCATCTGTAAGAGGCTCTTTGTTTTCCTTGGTTGTAGTCCCTGCCATCTTCAGAGCCAGCAAAGTAGCATCGGTGGAAAATCCCACTGGCTCTCCGACTTCTATTTCTTTTCTCACATCAGTTTTCTGACTCTAGTCGTCCTGCATCCTGGACCCTTGTGACTACACAGGGCCCATGGGATAATCCAGGATAATTTTCCTCTTTTGAGAGCCTTAATTTCATTACATCTGTGAAGCTCCCTTTTCCATCCCAGCTTTCATAATCACAGGTTTGTGGTATGAGGCCAGGGACAGGGACATCTCTGGGGGTCATTATCCTGTCTTCCACATTTGGTCTGACAGATTCATCCTGTTTTTCACTTTACTGCAAAAAGTCTCAGGAAGAAATGAGGAGGAGGAGGAGGAGGAGGAGGAGGAGGAGGAGGAGGAGGGGATAATGGTTTAAACTACCTTACATTAGATGGTGACTTACCTTTATCCAAACACCTATGATTTATTTCAAGTTCACTAAAGTGCAGTTGGATGAACAATGGGACTTTGAGACAGGAACCCGGGTTTTATCACTGAGCTGTGTGACCTTCAGACAATTCATTCAACTTGTTGAGGCTTAGGATTCATGTCTGGAACCTGGGAGAATGTAACCATCAGGAGGAAGAATGTGCTAGATTATGGGTAAATTGAGAATCTTGGAGTGTTTTATGTGAGAATTTCCTTTGGAGAAGCGTTTTCCAACTTTTGGTAGTTTGGGATGAATTTACAAAATTGTCCAGAAAATTTTGGCTTTTATTTGTTTCTATTTTATTTTATTTTGTTTTTCAGTCTCCATTTATGTTAGTTCAAAGAAGCAGGCATGGAGATGGGAGGAGACAAACAGATTTACTGGGGAAAGTATTTGTTGGGCGGATGGGAACAGAGGAGAGCCCTCAGGCCATGATGGAGGTGACACCTGTGGAGGAAAGAAGCCAGGCTGGCTGGAGATGATTCTTGCTGGAGGATGTGGGCTGGCCTTTTATTGTTGAGGGCCCTGAACAGGGAGCATGTGGGGGGTACGGGCACAGGAGTAATTCAATGCCAGCTTCCCTTTAGGAGAGCTGTTTTAGGATAGAGGAGGGTGGCTCCAGATGGGAGAGCACCTAACCAGGGGCTGCAGCAACATTCCTTAGTAGGTAGTGTGCAGGGTCTGTACCAGGTTGGTGTTGGAAATGGAAAGAAAAGAGCAGAGCAATCATGTGCGATTACTCATCCTGAAGAGTAAATGTCTTTCATTCGTTCCTGCCAAATAGACAGCTGGAATGTGTTTAATCAGTTTTGGTTGTCGCGTGGCCTGGAGATGTATCATGCTGATCATTGTGAAGATGGGTGTTCCTTTTTTTTTGGTGGGGGGTACCATGGATTGAATTCAGGGGCATTCAACCACTGAGCCACATCCCCAGCCCTATTTTGTATTTGATTTGGAGACAGGGTCTCACTGAGTTGTTTAGTCCCTCACTTTTTGCTGAGGCTGGCTTTGAACTCTTGATCCTCCTGCTTCAGCCTCCTTAGGTGCTGGGATTACAGGCAGGTGCCACCATGCTGGGCTGGTGTTCCTTTTGGGCAGATTGGCTCATCCCAATGTGGGCTGATTTGATAGATCTAGTCTGCAGCCCCTTTCTCTCCTCTTTCTTTCCTCTTAGACTCAATGTCATTTATGTCAATAATAGAAATGACTTGGGGACAATTCTCCCATTCTTTGCTAGATTAGAAGATAACTACTCATGGTGAGATATGTGGACTTGCGTCTTTTTGAATGTATCATAACATCTGAAGTTCCCGAGTGGAGGACATGTACATTTAAAAGATGATCACTGTTGCTGTGAATTTGACCTGAGGATGTTGGACCTTTTATATATCACATGTGTCATCAGGCAGCTCTAAGTTCTAAAGCCCGTTAGAAGAGGAGCAAGGGAGTGGCTCAGAAGGCTTTATTGCTAGAGGGAAATCCAACTGAGCTTGCAGAACAGGTGCTAAGACACATGTGGTGGCACATCCCTGTAATCCCAGTGACTCGGGAGGCTGAGGCAGGAGGATTGCAAGCTCAAAGCCAGCTTTAGCAATTTAGTGAAGCCCTAAGAAATTTAGCAAGGCCCTATCTCAAAATGAAAAATAAGAAAGGCCTGGAGATGTGGCTTAGTGGTGAAAGCACCCCTGGGTTCAATCTCTGGTACCAAAACAAAAAAACATTTTCCAAAAATGATGGTGGCGTGTAGTGGATGGCATGGGAACGCAGAAGGACAAATAATACAGTAACAGAGTGTACCTGGAGGTCCGCATCATGACCTCTAGCTACTGGACTGGGTTAAAAGTAGGATTCTAGTCTTTGGGCTAGAAAAGCCAGCCCAGAGCATTCACATTACCAGTAGAGGATACAGAGGGAGGGAACAAAGCACAACCAGGAGCTAAGGTTCAAGGTCACGGCCACAATAAGAGTGCTGGTAAGTGTCCACCATGTTGTCTCTTGAGTCTAAGCTAAAGCTTAGAGTGGGGTACTGATGACAGGTGGCCCTTTAGGTGGCAGATCAAGGGCCCCAGTGGGGAGGAAGAGGCTGGAGCCAGGGTCACCCAGGTGGTAGATTCTACCAACACTGTAGGAGACATTGATGATAAACATAGATGATGATCTCAAACTTAAGAAAGAAACAGAACCATCTGGAAGGTAGGTTAAAATGCAGATTTC